TTGTTATTATTATTTTTTTTTCATTTTTAAGTACTTATTTGTTTAGTGTATCATGTTTTTACTTTATGTTTCTAAAAATAAATTAACATGTTTTTGAAAATACTCTAAACAATTTTTTTATGTTTTGAGTGTTTTTGAAAATAATCATACTTTATAGGGTCATTTGAGATCTTTTTTGTCTTTTGTTTTTTTAATTTTGTTTATGTTTTGATGAAAAAAAGTGTGTTTCTATTTGATTAAAGCATAATTATTTCTAAAAAAACTCAAAATACCTAAATGTTGTTTTATGTATTTTCAAATAATATGTTTATTTGTTTTTATAAACAAGAAATAGAAAACATATAAAAAAACACATTAAACAAAGATGTTTTAAAAAATAAAAATACAAGCAAAAGAAAAAAGAGATGACCCCAAGCGGCCCATAATCAAATAGTCAAAACGTATTTTGCTTCAAATCAAAACATAAAGAAAATAAAATAGAAAACAAATGTGATCCCAAACGGCTCCTTAAAATCTATGATAATATATGTATGATTTTGTGTTCTATGAATTATTCAGTTTGTTAGCTTGAAGCAATAACCACTCTCCCTTTCATTTTGAGGGCATATGTTTGTTGATGCCATTTGGTATAATATGTTATTTATGAAATCTATTGACATACTGATTGGAGCATATCTATTAGGAAAACCTTTATAACTGTAGAAAATAAAATAATAAAAGAAACTCGAAAAAGTCTTCAATTTTCTTTGTGCAAGAGTGACATACATTTCCCATAGCAGGAATACAAGCAAAAAATGAGGGAAAAGTAATAGGGGCTGACGAACCTTTAGGAAAATGCATAAATTATAATTTGATGGTTGTAGAGAGATATATTTAACTGTATAGATCTTCTATTTGTGTGTCTTAAATTCTTTGCTATCTAAGAGTTATATTTAAACAAATCCAACAGTACAAAGTTTTGATTTGTGTGCCTTAAATTCTTCGCTATAATTGGAGCATAACTCAACACTTCCCAACAAATTAGATGATATAGATCAACCATTTCAAGTTTTCTTATAATATTTTTAAATATTGAGGTGCAGAATCCTTTGGTGAATATGTTGATCAGTTGATTTCTTTGGATATTGTTTTGTCTTTACATCAGTTCTTTCATCAAAGACTAACTTTTGCATTATTTTAGTTGGAGTTTCACACGATTTGCATTATGTTATCTTGATTTCTTTTAGTTTGTCCATAACATATTTTGTTGGGAGAAAAAATTAAAAGGCCCATTGATTTCCAGTAGCATGGTGTTCCACAACCATTTCATGATTGTGCAATCAATTTCTTCCCAAATAATTTTGATTTTTTGGTCTCTAGATGTAGATTTAAAAGGTGTTGGATCTTTTCTTTTCTCTTTAGAAATGTCTTCACAATTTGGGACAATTTAAGGTAATTTTTTCTATTCAAACGATAATATGCTTGAAATACTAGGAATTCATCTTTGGCCTGATTTCACAATTAATCACAATCGTTTCTTTTGAAGGGAAGCCAAAGAACCCCGACATAGTGAATAAAAGGAGAATTCAATAAGAAATATAGGTTAGATGTGAAAATCCTAACATTAGATACTAAGAACAAATGTTGCAAGTGAAAACCCTAATCTCAGAGAATAAGAATACATGTTGGATGAAAATTAACTTTAAAGAATAAGAACAAATGACACAAAGCCTTTGATCCATGTGCCTTAAGCTCTTTGCTATGATTGGAGCAGAAATTCAACACTGCTCTTCAAACTAGGTATAGTAAAGATTAACCATTCCAATTTTGCTTATGATATTTTTAAATGTTGGGTTGCAGAATCCTTTAGTGAATATGTCAGCCAATTGATTTCCGTTGATATTGTCCCGTATTTACATCAACTCTTTCATCTTAGTTCAATTGAAGTTTCACCCGACTTGCACTCTGTTATCTTTATTTCTTTTAGTATGTCCATAACATATTTTTGTTGAGAGAAAAAAATAAAAGGCCCACTGATTTTCGGCTGCATGGTGTTTTATAACCATGTTATAATCATGTAATCAATTTCTTCTTAAAGTAATAACTTTGATTTTCTGGGTTCTAGAGGTAGATCCACTAGGTGTTGGATCTTTTCTTTTCAATTTTGAACAATTTAAGGTAGATTTTCCATGTCATGCGATAATATGCTTGAAATGCTTGGAATTCTCCTTTGATTTGATTTTCATCATCAATCATAGTCGACTCTTATGATGGAAAGTCAAAGAACCCCGATATAGTGAATAAAAGGAGAATTTAGCAAGAAAGATAAGGTTAGAAGTGAAAACTCCCACCTTGTAGAATAAGAACAAAGGTTGCAAGTAAAAAGCCAAATCTTAGATAATAAGAACAAGTGTTGGAAATGAAAACTCTAACCATAGAGAATAAGAACAAAGGTTGGAAGTGGAACCTTAACCTTAGAGAATAAGAATAAAGGTTGGAAGCAATACCCTAACTTTTATCTGATAACATGTTAAAAATAAAATAACGAAAGAAACTTTCAAGAGCCCCTTCACTCTTCTCTGTACAATAGATGGCATATACATCTTCCATTGGCATTATAAATTAGGAATAAAACCAAAAAATGAGTGAAAATTAATAGAGGTCGATGATCCTTACAATCTTAGGGTTATAGAGAGACAGATCTAGCGGTATAGAGTCTCGATATGTTCTTAAATTCTTTATTATCTAAGAGTCATAAATAAACATATCCAACAGTACAAAAGCCTTCATTCGTGTGCCTTAAATTTTTTTCTAAGATTGCAGTAAAAATTCAACTCTTAGCCTCAAACTAGACGATATTGATCAACCATTCCAAGTTTGCTGATGATATTTTTAAATGATGGGCTTCATATTCTTTTGGTGAATATGCGGACCAATTGATTTCCTTTGATATTACCCTGTATTTAGGTCAATTCTTTTGTCTTAGTTTAGTTGAAGTTTCACATGGCTTGCATCTTGTTATCTTGATTTCTTTTAGTATGTCCATAAAATCTTTTTGTTGGGAGAAAAAAAAAATAAAAGACCCACTGATTTCCAATATCATGTTGTTCCACAATCATGTCTATCAATTTCTTCCCAAAATAACAACTTTGATTTTTAGGGCCATGGAGGTAGATCCACAAGTGTTGGATCGTTCCCTTTTCTTTAGAAAGGCCTTCACAATTTTCATTTGGTTAAGTAGTTTTTTCCGTTCAAGCGGTAATATGCTTGAAATACCTGAAATTTTCATTTGGTCTAATTTTAACCATATAGTTGGTTCTTTTGAAGGGATGTTGAAAAACCCTGAAATAGTGAATAAATGGAGAATTCAACAAGAAAGATAAGGTTGGAAGTGAAAACCATTACCTTAGACAATAGGAACAAATGTTGGAAGTGAAAAGTCTAACCTTAGATAATAAGAACAACTGTTGGAAATGGAAAACCTAACTTTAGAGAATAAACACAAATGTTGAAAATGAAAACCCAACTTTATAGAATAAGAATTAAAGGTTGGAAACAACAACCTAACCTTTCTCTTATATCAAGTAGAAAAAAAAATAATGGAAAAAACTATCAAGAGTCTTCACTTTTCTTTGTACAAGAAGGGAGATATATAGATATATATATATACATCTCCCATATGTATTATAAAATAAGAATAAATCAAAAAATGAGGAAAAAATGATAGGTGCCGATGATTCTTTAGGAAAGCCCACACATTACAGTATGAGGATTATAGAGAGACGTATTTGACGATGTAGAGCTTCGATCCGTGTGTTTTAAGTTCTTTATTATCCTAGAGTCATAAGTAAATAGATTTAACGGTACAAAATATTAATCCGTGTGCCTTAAATTCTTTGATATTATTGGAGCAAAAATTCAACAATAAATACAATAATTTATTGAATTTAAATGTTGGTTAGATATATGAAGCTTTTAATAATATTTGATGTTTTCAAATATTCCTAATATATCTTTTGGGCACAATATTTTTCTTGTTTTGCATGTCAAACTTTTTTTGTTAAAACTTATGTTATAATGCATGAAAAAATTTATACGCTTAAGGCTACGACTAGGTTAGGATTACGGTTTTGAATTTTTTTCTCACTTGTTTCAGAAATCGGAGTTGTGGGACATGTAAGGGGGAAGGGAAGAGCATGAGAGGCATGATTTATGCAGTCATCTTTCATAACTTCTACTCTTAACATCAATTGTCGTGGAGGAATTCAATCTCATTGCTAATTGATGGTTACTTGATGTTCTTCTTATTATTTTTTTACACAAATAAGCATTATAATGAACTAATCTGTTATTTCAATTCAATTCCTTAAATTAAAGAGTATTGAATTGGTCTTAGAGAGAGAATTGTAGAGAGGGAGGTACAGGATCGCTGCTTGGGGGAAGGGATCTATAATTGAAAAAAATTCAGATAAGGGAATCTTGGAATGAGTGTCTGCCATGTGAAGATTTGGAGAACTCGATTACTTGCAAATCATGATAGAAGTAGGAATTTTTTTGTTTTTTTAAATTGGTACATGATAAATAATGGATAGAGGAAGATAGACGAGAGAGAACAAGAGAGAATTTTTATTCAATCATTTAAAGTTTCAAATTGTTGTTGATAATCAAAATAACAAGCATTGGAATCCTTTTTTATTGAACTAAGAATACAACTTGTTCAAATTAATTTAAAATCTATATCTAGATGAGTCCTAAAAATTCATTTTATTTATTTAAAATAAACATAATCTCGAAATGAAATGCATTAAAACTTAATAAAAAATATCAGAAATAATTCAAAAACATTAGAATAATCTTGATGCATGCCTTGCACTCTATCACCAAGGTTAAAATTTCCTATCACTTCAATCAACCTGAATCACATTTACTACGTTGTACTTCATGAATCAGTTTCCTACTCTGCAAGATTCATTTTTGATGCTCCTAGCTTAAACTCAAAGCTCTCTCTATTACAATTTCAGGTCAAAGAAGATGACTCCTTGTCTCTGAAATACACTCTGGAGGGCCACACAAAGCCAGTCTCCATCATAGCATGGAGTCCAGATGACTCGATGCTACTCACATGCGGCAACGAAGAACTCCTAAAACTGTGGGACGTCGTTACCGGAAAGTGCAAACACACATTTAATAGTTCCACGAATCGTATAATCAATTCTTGTGCTTGGTTTCCTGACTCCCTAAAAATAGTATGTGGCAGCATTAATCCCGATAATCGGATATTTACGTGTGATCTCGAAGGCAATGAGCTCGAAGTCTGGGAAGGGGAGAGAATGCCGAAGATATCCGATCTCGCTGTGACGCCTGACGGTCATCTTCTAATAAGCATATGCTCCAATAGAGAAGTATGGATACGGGAGTTCCCAAGGGGGAAAGCATTCCGGAGCAGCATTCAATCACATCGCTTTCTCTTTCAAGGGATGGAAGGTTTTTGATCGTCAACTTGAATAGTGAGGAGATCCATCTATGGAATGTTGTGGATGTTTCGAGCACACCGGATACGTTTAGAGGCCACAAGCAGAAGAAGTATGTGATACGGTCGTGTTTTGGTGGATCAAATTGCTTGTTCATTGCCAGTGGAAGCGAGGATTCACAGGTATTTTCTAAAAGGTATTTTATTATTTTTTAAAATGTGAAAATGACCAAAATGATTCCTGACTATTTATAGGTAATTTAGTCTGGTGTTTTTATTTAATATCTGGACTCTTAAAATAACAGTTAAATTGATCTTGCCATTAAAGTTAACAGGATAGTGTTAAAATAAAGTTATTTTAGGAATTTGTAGTCGAAATTTAAATAAAATTTAAATGTCTATTTGTCTTGTTTGGGATAAAATTTATTGGTAATATTCACAGTACTTATTTCATTTTTAGATAAGCAATGATGAAATTAATATATATTAAAATTTTATATTATTGTAATTATCATTCATAAATTTTCTTAAAAATATCAAAAAATTTAAAGCCTTTTATTAGATTTTATAAAAATCTTTAGTCATAAAATTATAGAATACTCTCATTTTTTAATGTTATCTGTAAACTTTAACTTCAAATTCAATTACTTTTAATGGCAAGAGCACTTTAGCTTTTATTTTAAGTGTCCAGGAATGAAATTTGGCCTTCTGTAAGGCCTTAAAGACTAAAATGCACCTCCCCCTCACGACAAAAAATCAGGGGATCATTTTGATCCATTCTCCTTTCCTTATTATTATTATTCTTATTATTATTTTTACTTTGTAACAAAAGTCACCATCAGCAGTGTCATCACAATTCAGTTATTTACATGCATACCACTCAAGTCTTATGTATTTACATATCCAACTGCAAAATTTACTTGTTAGATTTATACCAACCAAAAATTTGCATATCTAATTAAAAAAAAACCACCATTTTGACCTTTAAAAAGCTAAATACAACTTTTTCAAGCATTTACATTCATATATCACCCAATTCTCATGTATTTACTTATCCCACCCGAGATCTTAATATCACATAAAACATACCACTATTTTAACTTTTAGAAAAGTGAAATACACCTTTTCATGCATAGGTAAATACATAGGAAGTGGCCGCTACGCATGTAAATCTTCGTCTTTGTCATTGTTTTCTTTCCGGCAATTAGAAAACAAACCTTACAACTAATTTCTCAGCGCATTTACATGTGCGGAATGCGATGCCTAAAATCACAAATAATTTTGCAGATTTACATTTGGCAGCGACACAACTCAATGCCCATACAAGTTCTGCGCGGCCATTCCATGACCGTGAATTGCGTGAGTTGGAATCCCATGCGTCCTCATATGCTAGCTTCTGCAAGCGATGACCGCACCATCCGGATATGGATGGCCAACAAAAGGCCGAGACAAAAATGACTGATTCTCTCATAGGTATGTTTCCATTCTGTAAATGTTTTGTAATCATGCAATATAGCTTCATAAAATGTTACAACTGCTGAATGCAAATCGTCAAATGGCAAAATTATCAAAATAGTCCCTATATTTTTCAGTCATGTCCATTTGAACCCGAGTTATTTTTTTCATGAACAGAATACTTGAAAATATTATGCATTAAAATGAACAGGCCTAAAAAGTCTAGGGTCCATTTTGTAAATTTTTTCGTGTGGTCGAAATTTTGAATGTATATAACATTTTAAGTATTGTGTGATATGATATATCTGTAATTTTGTAACTGTCTTTAGATGGTGTTTATTTTATTCTTTGATCATAATGCATAATTGTAATGTTGATCATATTTTCGCTTAAAACTAAAGTTGAACTTTGCCAATATAAACAGAATTCTTATTTTTTTGCACATCTAACCACCAAACTTTTAAGGTTTACATGTCTACCACTCAATCTTTAATATCATATTAAAAAATATCGCTATGACTTGTGTTTTGATGTGTAGGTTTTATCTGTAAGGCTTATGAATGTAAATATGATAGTTTAGATATTCAATATGTAAATGCATAAGTCAATATGTAAATGCATAAGAATTGTAAATTTTCCTTTTATATGCTCCTCTTTTAAGGTCCGTTTGGGGCAGCTTATAAGAGCGGGCAACGTTTTTAAAACGCCGTCATACTATTTGATTCGCGCGTTTCATCTGCTTATCCGAAATTACGTTTGAGTTTTTATACTAAACGCAAGCCGCGGGTCTACCCCTGCTGCCGGACCGCGGGCCGCGTTTCAGGATAAGCAGTCTATCCTGAAATGCACAAGCTGCCCCAAACAAACGCTGTCATCTACTTCTTTCAAGTTTTTCAACATTTCTTTCTTAGAAAGTAAAATATAAGATTGCATATCATCATTTTTTACTTATAAAAAATCATTTATAAAGTTAACACCTTCTTTCATCAAATTTTTCATTCAAATATCAAAATTCATGATAAAATTCTAAACAACGTTTGTCATTTTAATTAGATTCCTAATGATTAAATATGGCACGAATAAATGCATCGTTTTCAAAAAAATCATCGGAGTGCTAGTTTTGTAAATGTGATAAGTCAAAAAAATCATCGGAGTGCTAGTTTTGTAAATGTCAATGTTTTAAGTGTTATGTATGTAATTATGACGTTTTTGAGAAAAATTTTCAATTTTATTTTATTTTTCTAGCTATAAAATGTGGGGGAAGTTGTGAAAAATAATAGCTAATATAAATAATATTTTTAACTTCTCATAAATTAATAGTTTATTAACCTAAATATAATAATCTCTATTTGATTGCTAAACCATAAATAGTGCATTGTATTGAATAATTAATATTAATTTTTACTTTTTAATTTGCAATAATATATCTAACAATTTTATTGATTATTATTAATTTTGACTAGTAATTTCCTAGAATATAACATTGTAATTAATTATTAATCAGAAGTTTTCTTGAATCGATTGTACGCACTAATTTTTTTTTAAAAATCAAACTTATTAAAAAATATTGATGTTTAATTAATATTACTAACACTTACTGTTTTAGAGACATTTACATTCACACCACCCAATTCTTACATATTTACACATCCAACATTTGTGAACATTATTTTTTATGTTTGCATCGCTAAAGTTTTCACAATTTTTTACTTAAAAAAAACAAAAAAAAAATAGATAGTTTACATATATAGCACAAGAAATATTGCTATTTACAAATCAAGCCACCCTCTTTCATCCATTTTTCAAATTCTCTCTCAAATATCAGAATTCATGATAAAACTCCGGACACATTTCTCATTTTTTTATAAAAATTTTCAATGATTCGATCATGACAAACATACATATATCAATTAACTAATTAAAAAATATCTATTTCAAAACTATGTAAGTAATAGTCTCTAAAAATTAACACACTTTCATACATAATTAAGGTGATATACATGTAAAAAACTAAAATTTAGAAGGTAGACATATAAAAACATAGGATTGACCAGTATATAAAAACATGGTAAGCAATGCAAAAACCACCATCTTCACAGATTACTAG